GGGATGAGGTTAGTAGGTAGGAGATGGGGGTGTGGCTTGAGGTGGGAGGAGGGGATAGGTGGGAGGAAGGACAGGTTAGGGAGGCGGGGACGAGCTGGACTGGTTTTGGGATGCGGTAGGGGGAGGGGAGATTTTGAAACTTGTGAAATCCACATTGATACCATTGGGCTGCAGGGTTCCCAAGCGGAATATGAATTGCTGTTCCTGCAACCTTCGGGTGGCATCGATGTGGCACTGCAGGAGGCCCAGGATGGACATGTCGTCTGAGGAATGGGAGGGGGAGTTGAAATGGTTCGTGACTGGGAGGTGCAGTTGTTTATTGCGAACCGAGCTAGTTGACTGACATTGCCACTATTACCACTATCTCCCCATTATTCAGAAAGGGCCATAAAAATGGCAGATGAAACTAATCTGCATATGGGCTGGCAGCCTGGGTTTGACAGATGAGAGACTCAACACGAGCAATTCAGGTCTCCAGAAGCTGCCGTCCAATCAGAGACTGCTATTATGCTGTTATTGTAGAGCGCGTGTTATGGGGAGAAGATCCCCGGAGGGGGCAGAGGCTGGGCCGGGGACTGACTTTGAGAGACCACGTCCTTGCTCCCCCGCGTCCCCCAATCTTCAAGCCTCTGATTGCCCAAGACTGGGAGAAACCCCCTTCTACCCTCAAAAGGTGGGTGCTTTGTTCTGCCAATTGGAAAATGAATCACCCCTCTTGCCTGCCATGGGTGCAGGTGCTGACTTGGGGGCTTTAGTGACCATTAATTGACCACTTCAGGCTCTTCATAGGTGGCAGGTCAAAAGGTCACCATTTGCCCTCCTGATACAGAATGTAATTTGTGGAGTTGCAAGAAAGGCGTGCACTTCGTTCTCAGGTCATTGTCCAATTATTTCCCCTTCTCCATATCTCTACGGCGAGGAAACTAACTCTTAGCATATTACACATTGCTCTGGTTTGGAATAGGAAGAACCAAGAAAAGGGTTTTTTTAACTCTAGGTTAAAGAAATAATTTACAATTCCAAGACAATGGGCTTAGCTCACTTTGCTTTTATGGTACTACAGCAGGTAATTACAGCTCCTTTAAAAGGGGCTAAAGATGGGAAGGTCTCAAAAGAATTCAGCAATTCTGTTAATCAGTGCATTATTTCCATGCAGCCCCTCCCAGAAATTCCAATGTGCACTTTTGTTAAGTGAGATGCCTCGCTGAAACCTAGAAGATTGGGAGTTAATTTTGATGAGTCAATGCACAAAGGGAGTATGTTAGAACACAGGAAATAGGAGCAAATGTAGACCATTCAGGACTTTCAGCCTGCTCTGTCTCAGTTAGACCATGGGTGATCGGCTACCTCAACACCGTTCTCCTGTACTATCTGTCGATGTCTTTAATCTATTCATCTCAGTCCAGAAGACACAGCAGCAGAAGTAGGCCATTCAGCCCATCGAGTCTGTTCTGCCATTCAAAGATATTATGGTTAACCTGATTATTCTCAATTCTGCTTTCCTGCCTTTCCCCCATATCTGACTGAAACTCCACAGTCTACTCTCTGAAGTAGACAATTCTGAAGTTTCACCACTCTCTGGATGGAGAATTTCCTCCTTACCTCAGTCCTAAGTGGTTTACCCCTTATCCTGAGTCTGTGTCCCTGCTTCTAGACCCGCACACATCCTTCCGACAGGGGGAAACACATCCTTCCTACATCTACCCTGTAGAAATTTTGTGGGTTTCTGAGCTGGTGTGGGGCATGGCAGTGAATACGTTCACATTTTCATTGGGAAGATGTTTTAAGGCAGACAGTGAATCAAGGGCGAACAAAACAGAAACAGAAATATTTTTTATCCACCATGAAGTGATGATGTTGAGAAGGAGATGGTGGACAGATTGCTCATCATGGTTTTGAATGTTTTTGTTTTGAATGTGTCTTCTTTATCATTGAAACATAACAATACATTAATCCTGACATGTCCGGACTACGGAATGTGTTGAGACAGAGTTTGGGCAGTTTAGGCCTATACTCTCTGCAATTTAGAAGAATGAGACAAGATCTAACTGAGGTATATAAGATGCCAAAGGGGATTGACAAAGTAGACGTGGTGAGGATGTTTCCTCGTGGGACAATTGAGAAACAGAAGTCATCATTTTAGGAAAAGGGGCGGCAGACTTAAAACAGAGATGAGGAGAAATTACTTCCCTCAAAGGGTCATGAAAATGTGGAATTCACTCCCCCAGAGTGCGGTGGATGCTGGGATATTGAGTAAATTTAAGGATGAGAGAGATTTTTAATTAGTAATGGGTTTGAAGGGTTACGGGGAGTGGGCAGTAAAGTGGAATGGAGATGAGATCAGCCATGATTGTATCAAATGGCAGAGCAGGCTAGAGGGGCTAAATAACCTACTCCTGCTTCTAGCTCCCATGTTCCTGTGTTCGGTAAGTAGCTTTCTGAAGTAACTGAAGCTTTGCTGTTGTGCATGGGGCCCAGGCTCACAGGTCAAGGGAACACAAGGTATGCAAAGCCTCATGGCCTCTTAAGGCTTGAATTCAGCAAGAATAATTTTTTCTGACAGAGTGTCAGATAATCTTACTTTAAAAATAGTGTAAAAATGTATTGACCTTATCATATTTCCTCCCAATGATGTCATTCCCTGCCTTTAGTGCCCTGGGTTTCAGATAATTCCATATTTCTGTATCAGAGGTCAGTTGGAAAGAAAATGTCACTGGAGAGCATTAAATGAAGTACCCTAATCTTTGCACTTCAAGCCTGCAAATTCCTCTGTGAAAGACAGCCCAGATCCTGGCTCGATCCAGAGCAGCTCAAATGGTAAACAATCGGAATTGGGTTCGCGCACTGTCTCTCATTGTCATTTCAACATTAGTTGAGAAATTGTTTGTCCTTTCAAGTAAAGTCCATATCGAGCCCAATGTTCAGTTTCTAGACTGTTTTTGTTCTGATACAATTCTTAATTGTTGTGAATCTTGACACTGAGAAGGAAATCCGATATCAGGGATGTGCTAATTATAGTTCTGATAATTAGGCTTTCATGCCCGAATCTTTGAGGAAAAGATGGAACAGAAATGCCTGTTAGCATCAACACCTCACTGGGTTTATTTTGTTGGTCAGTAGCCAGTATAGTCAGTGCAGAAACCTATCACCATGTCATGAGTCTCCAGTCTAATCTATGAAAATATATTACATTTGTCCAGCGTGCACTTCCTCCTTGTGTACACACCCCACCTACCTTAACAAAATTCAAGGGACCTGCGTATAGAGGATTCAAATGTGTTTAATCCCAATCCTCACCTCATTGATAAGTCTTGTCGAGAGTGCAAAATGCACAAAATCTTACTTTGAATGGATTACTTAACATAAAATGAATGATATGCATGATGCCATACCCATACCTATATCCAGGACATCGCAATATCCTGTCAACATGCACTTTGGAAATGAAGACTTAGGACGTGGAACAGGTTTGGCTACAAAACATTGGAAATAACTCTGGCTGTGGTTTTATTCCCTTCAAAGACTTATCTCCTTCACAAAGAAGCAAGTTAGTCAGGTCACTCAGAACTGTCTCTTTTAACCTCAATTATGTTTAGATTTCCTGTCAGAACGGCAAGGAGATAAGCCTTTTCACAATAACAAGAGGGGTTATATTTATCATGTCCTCTCATGAACAAGTGGGAGTTTTCTTACTAATTATTTTCAACTAGCAATAAGGCTAAGTGTTTCGAAGATAGTAGGAACTGCAGATGCTGGAG